TATATATATATATACATATATATATATATATATATACATATGTGTGTATATATATATATATGTATGTATACACACATACATACACACACACACACATATACATATATATATATATATATATATATATGGTACAATTTGCAACGACGGATGTAAAGGGGTTAAGATCACCACTTTCACGTTTTAAAAACCGAAACCACCATTAGTATTCAAATATGAAATGTAACAAGAGCAGGTATAATTTGTGTGAGAGTGAAAACAGAGATCAATTAGCAAGAAGGCCAGTTAAGACAACAGCAATCGTCTACTCTCTAACCACAGCTCCGCCATGTTTACATCACCAGGAGCCGTTCAGATATAATATGCATCTAATTAATAGATAAAATAGAGCAAAAACCATGAAAATAAAATATTTCACACTCACCAAAGACGCTGATTATTTAAAAACTAACTCCATCCGTCTTTGTGCAGAAAGTCTTAGTATCTCCATTTGTATCAGCAATTGAGGCCAGAAAAACTTTGAACAAAAGCAAATCTAAAATTCAGATTTTTGCTCGCTTAACTTGGCTGTAAACATTTATCTCAACTGACCAATCAGAGGACAGAAAATGCTGACGAAGGGGCGGGCCCTCTAGCTGCCCTGTGGGGCAAATCTTAAATCTGATAGGTTAAAAAAACTTTCTTCAGTAATACAGTTAAAGTGACATCGGCAGCACTGCTGATTCTGAAGGCCCGGGGCAGATTGATTGACATGGTAACACGCAGAGCCTGAAATCTGTTTGGAAAAAAAAACTATTGGAGACCAGAAAAATTTAATGGAAGCAGCGCAGCCAAGAGAGACGCTACAAAGCTAGGAGAACAGATTGTTTGGAATAAATCAATACAGTTGGAAAGAAGCTAATTAAAGTTGAGATTTTGAATGTAGGTTAGAGTTTCTGATTGATTTTAAGCTGGCAGTGAAGGCCTTGAAGGCCCTAACAGCCCACCAGTGATCATATCTATTTATATGATTTTAAAGGCAAACATAATTATTGGACTGGCTGATCATCTTATTTACCTGCTTCAATTCTCAGTAAATATGCTAATTTTAAGAGAAATCAACTTATTTTTTGATCAGTTTTTGCAGTGAATGAAAGAAAGAGAAAAAATGAGGAAAAGGGAAGTTAACATTGGAAGGGAGGACACTAGTCAGAAAGGAAGAAATAGGAAGAAGGAGTCGACAGAAAGAAAGACTAAAAATATAACTAAATATAAAACCAGATTCTCGCCTCCTTGATCAGAACCCAGAGGATCAATCCAGGTTCTGAAGCACTCCTACCTCTTTCAGGACTTTTCCTGATGACTCCATCCTCAGGAAGGTCAAAGGCTGGAGGATAAAGGGCGAAATGTTAACAAACTACAGCGAGACGCACCTTCAGACAACATCACAGCAGAATCATGACAGACCGCAGCAGAAAAAGGAAGAAGAAGAAGAGGAGGAGAGGCTAACCAGCAAGTCTGATCAAATGAGATGAGTCTTCAGCCTCTGGGAGGAGCTGCTGGACTCTTTGCTCCTTTAAAGGACTTCCTGTGAAAGCTAGAAGAGACGGAGTGCAAAGACACAGAGAGGTGAAACGGAGGAGGGACAGCGCCCAGCATGCAGGAGACAGAAGCTCCGAAAGGAGTACAGAAAAGGTTAGAGGACAATCTGACACGAGGACCCTCAGAAAACAGGACATTTAACATCTAGAAATGGTTCTACATTCATTACTTTAGGAGTCGCAGAGACAGAATAAAAAATTTAAACGTTTCTAAAGCATTGTTTTCAGAAATAAAGAAAGTATTTCTACCTGCTAAAAAGCAAAGTTTTATTTTCTGTTTATTTGTTTGATTTTCTACTGCTTCTCTTCTGCCGTATCAGCAGGATCCGTAAGCTTTTTGGTTTTTTTCCATCAAACCTCGCCCCCCCCTTTTAGCTGTGATGTCATCGGCTTGAACAGGTCATGTTGCTAGCATAGGTCAAGATGATGTGAAGACCATCTGAATGTTTTAACCAATCAGAGACCCAGATTCAACCCACAGATCAGCAGAAAGTAGAGCATTAATAAAGTGGAAGGAAAAACCAGCAGGAATCTTAAAAGCTTTTGCATTAAGAGAAACCTGAAAAATGCGGCATGCCAAGTTATTTCCCACAGTACTGTGTGCGGTTGGATTCATTCATTAAAACATTTTTTAA